GCAAAACTTTTGTCGGCTTACCGCGGGTCTACTGTGTTGAGAAGAACCGGCAAGAAACTCAGCAAGGGCTGTTTTTTGTCCCTGTATTGTTATATAAAGAGTCGCCAAGTTGGAAAATGACTTCAGAGATACTTCTGAAGTCACTTTCCATTACATAAATATGTAGTTACAAAAAAAAATTTATTTAACTTTCTATTTAAATATAGGAAGCGGCATTAAATAGGTACCATATTACTGTTATGAAAAATGACTAATACCCATCAAATAACAAATTATAAGAAACACTACGTCCATGCATTACGATCATTTAGATAATCATCAACTTTATAATAGCCCTTATTCATAGAGTATTCTTGATCTGAGATTTAAATTTGGTCAGTGGAAGCAGATTGTGGAAGTTACCAAATTTTAAAATGGCCGGTCTTTGGATGTGTGAAAACATCGTATCTCATGCTTCTCCGTGCTTCGGAGTATAGAGTGACATGGCTGACGCGGCCAGAGGTGTAGGGGTAGGTAGTATACACAGCTTTACCCTCTATCTGACTTTAATGATTAACCCTGATAGAAGTTTCGCAGAATGCCGCTTTTCAAAGCAATCATTCATCCGATAAATAATAAAACTTGATAGTGATCTTGGATTCCCTGAATTGCTCCGACTATTCATTACATTTACAAGATGTTATAAAATGTCTGGAACTAGAAAGTTCCAATAAACAATAATGTCAAATGTCAACTATGTAACTAGGGCTGCGAAGACTCAACGGAGTGGTGTCGATGGATGTTATCGACTGTAGTACCCCTAACACGGACCAATATCGAATTCGAATAGTTTGCGAGTGCGGAATGTCATTGTCAAATATGTACTGATTTTTAGTTCTCGTTGCGTCCGTTATGGTGCTGCTGTTCAAGTTTCCATACAAAATTTGACAATGACATTTCGGACTCGCTGTTTGAATTCGTATCGTTTGCGAGTCCGAAATGTCACTGTCAAATGTGTACTGATTTTTAGTTCTCGTTACGTCCGTTGTGGCGCTGCGGTTCAAGTTTCCATATAAAATTTGACAATGTTATTTCGGACTCGCAAACTATTCGATTTCGATAATGGTTCGTGCTGGAGGTACTGAACTCAGAAACCTCTTTCTGTGTTTTGTGACTTCGACCAATCAAAAGAGAAGAAATGAAGACATACTTACTTGTGAACTTAATACGCCTATAGAATTTGAAATTCCAGGTAACAATTTTTTTTCTTTATTACAGAAAACTAGAGATAAAAATATTACATTGTTGAACTAGATAGATTGAACATTATGATGTACCTCAATCTCTTAGGCCATTAAAGAAGGGATGGGAACCCCGAATAAAAATGTATTTGTCCCCAGACGCTACCATTTCTAGGAAAACTCGGCTTGCCGTTTAGAATACTCCCACACAGATATAGGGGTAGTTCTGAGAATTCTATCTGCATTACAGGCTTGCGATCCGGTAAAAGATCACGGCTTTTGAATGCGATAAAATAACACAGCAATGATCCAGTTTATATATCGTTTACTAGCTGTGCCCCGCGATATTACCCGCGATTTATTAGGGACATGTTCTCGCAGTAAAACGTAGCCTATGTGTTAATCCAGGGTGTAAGCTTGCTTCATACCAAATTTTATAAAAATCGCTCCAGTCGTTTAAAAAGCAAATCAGGTAAATGTATCAAATATTTGATTTGCTTTAAAATGATAAGAGTTTTAGATCAAAAATCATTTATTCGGCAACCCATTCTTAAACAGTGATAAAAAATATTTAAAAAAAACGACGGGTTGCACTGCGGTAGTGCCGGCAGAAGTGGAAACTTGAATATTAACGTTGTACATTTTTGATATTTTGGAATGGTTAGGGAATAATTTTGCACGATTTGCTTTAATTATCAGTAACACTTTATATACCTACACGAATTTTACGAATACACAGCAATGTGGCCACTACACAGACGGTCGAGCCATCAGCTGTCACCATCCATGGATGCGCGTGGCACGCTGTAACATAAACATGAACATTCGCGCAAGCGCCCTGCGCCGCCGAAACGAAACAGCAGGCGCAGGCATACACTTTCGCCGCGCCGTAGAAAGAAAGGGGGACACTTCCTCTCCTACGCCGGGACGGTTACTTACTCTTCATCCGTCTTACGAATTTTCGATCAGGTCACATGTCCTGACGCGAGTTTGACATTTTTTACCGATTACAAAAAAAAGTATGCAACGTCGCTAAAGAAGTTATCACTTCAAAAATATTTTATTGGTAACAAATTTCGTAGTGTACAATGAAGAGTTTTTGTATTGTAAAATGAAAAAAACAAGTTTATCTTCAATTTTTTAAATGAAGTAGCTTATTTATAGAAAAGTGTGCTAGTAATTGGTTATAAATTATTTTCTCAAATACTTTACTTAGCGCTGGTAATACAGGTATAGGCCTAAAATTGCTGGGATCTGATTTGTCACCAGCCTTAAAGAGAGGGATAATTTTAGCACATTTCATTAGATTCATAACTAACCACGTATGTTATTTCACACATATTGCTTTAAAAACTAACATTCTTCAAATGCGCTCTGTTAACTGTTCATACGTCGCGGCGCGGTGAATATAAAGCTTAATTGGTAACTTAAAAGCATTGATCTTTAACAGAAACTTCCTTAATAACTTTGGATACTCGTGAAAAAAAACATGCTCCAGAAAAAAAACACGTATTTTTTTATTTTTTTTCATCATAGAAAAACAGAAAAACTATTTTTTCACTCTTTACTTTTAATGGATCATGCTGTATTTGAATTCAAAGTAAACAATGTACAAGTAGTGGAAGGAAACCTTAGTTCTGCAGGCATGTTTCTCGGAATATAGGAGATCAGAAAACTTATTCGCACTCTATTCGCGAATTTATTGTTTCTGCTGAAAAACAACATCTGTTTTTATTGCATTTTTTCCACGAAATACTGTGTTATTTTTTAGTAAATACCAAATGCAAAAACATTTGGAAGTTACCAAAAAGGAAGAAAAAAGGATAGGTTTACTAATTTTTTAAGATTTTGGTGAACACTATAGAGTGGCATTTTTTTTTATAACTTGTTACCTACGCTTATGTCATGTCCCAACAAAATAACTTATACTTTGTTAAATCATAAAAAACATTTGGCATAACAAGGAGTCAAAAGTACATTATTTATGTGTACCATTAAATTAAATATGTCAACTCTAACCATAAAATATGTGAACCTGAAAGGATATAAGAGCAAGGACAAGAGACAAATAAAGTGTAGCTCACGGCATCTATCGGTGAATAGAATAACTAACACTTCATTACGATGTCATACAATAGATAGCGCTGAAGTTGTAAAAAAATATAAATTAAAATTACAAAAAAATGTTCTACTACTTCATTGGTTATCTTACTGTAATTAGGAATTTTGTAGTCCATCATAAATGTTCAAATAATTTGGACGCAAGTGGTCCTTAAAATCTTAGCTAGTTCTTGGTTTGCTTCTTCTGAAACTGTATATCTAATGCATACTAAAGCGTTGCTAATACCCTTGTCGCAGGCACTTTGTATGATTCCGCATTTTAAAAACGGCGTCGTCCGTTTAAAAACGCTCGCTGTTTTAAAATATGCCGAAGGCAAATGTATTGTCTTGTTACTTTATAATATGCCGCAACATTTAATAGACAATCCAATCGGATCGGATGTGGTTACAAAATGCCGCGGCATATTGAAGTATTTAGTTCTATTTCTTACCACGCATGGCGCAATCAAAACAAGAAAAATGGCGTCGTGTAGTAGTTTTATGACAAAGCAAAATATTGAAAACAGTGCAAATTCAACGTGTTGAAAGGAATTTTACGATTCACAAATAGGAGCAGTATTAAAGCCGTCTACAAATAGTTTTTTAGGTTATCCGATAAACAACACTGGAATCTGGTGCTCGGAGGACTCCTGCTGAATATATATTATTTATTGCTATAAAAATTTGATATGCTGAATCTTGTGATGTGGACTATCTTATTCTGAAAAAAAAGACATCTCTGAGAGTCCGACGGCCCGAGTAATAGAAGATTATTATGAACATTTTGATATATTGTTAGATATTCATAGGGGCTGTGGACATGGTGGTCGTGACAAAATTCAGTACCTACTGAATTAAAGATCTATTTATCATTGTTTTTTTTTACTTAACTAGCTTAATTACATGTATTTTAAGTTAGTCCCAATTGAATAGGTAACTACCTGATTTCTGAAATAAATTCTGACTCGTCCAACCTGTGTTTATGTTGGTCATCCTACTATAACAATCAATGTGATAATTTTTACAATTGAACGAGTCGCCAAATTGCCTTAGTCATACTTTAAAATAGCGAGCGTTTTTAAACGGACGACGCCGTTTGTAAAATGCGGAGTTATACAAATTGCCTATTAAACGTATTTCATCATTCTCCCTTTTTACTTTCCTGCATTTTTGGCTTCGACTCTGCTTGTATAGTTTTTACGATGAGTTCTTTAATATTAGTCATATGCGAAATCTTATTAATGGTGTTTAGTTTTTTATTTGTTGCTAAAAACACTTCGTTTTTCAAATAAAATAGTGTGGTTTGATCTATTCAACGCCATCTGTCACGTTTGTTTACTATTACTTTCTAACTTTAATTATTAAACTAGTTAGTCTACTCGACGACAGATGGCGCAATCAAACAAATTCAGTAAATTCGATTCTTGATTCTGGCATGATTCTTTAAACCCAAACTTAAATAATTACTAACAGCGTGTCCTTGTCATTTTCTATACAGAAAGAAAAGGAGAGACTAATGTTAAATTTAGTTTAGAGAATATACAACAATAACTTTAAATCAAAATCAACAAAAATTAATTTTAATTTGTAAATAAATATACATATTTATTATTGCAATTTATGCCAAAATTGAGAAGGATGGATTTGAGCTATTACGATATTTCATTTTTTCTCTTACAGATACATTCTCGACAATAAAATTATAATGGCAAATCGACGCGTCATCGACATTGGATGTGGTTGCGGAGCAGGTGCCATTGCTGCAGCAAAAATGAAGGCTGAATTTGTTATGGCAAATGATGTTGATGAAAGTAAGATTTTTCTGAAAAATAGAAAAAATGGTTTCACACATATTGGAGATGCCGGGGATCGAACCCGGGGCCTTTCACATGCAAAGCGAACGCTCTACCACTGAGCTACATCCCCTGTTGAGGTATTGGTTGAAAGTACTCATTACATTATACACCGGCTTCTGAGATGTGTTAAAGTTTCTCAAATTACAAGATACAACAAACTTTATTTTGTGCCGTTTTTTTTACAGAATATTAAATTGAATGTTCACTTCAAAAGTAAATAATTAAAATAACAGAATTATTTAATGGGAGCCCCATCTAGGTTTGCCAGTTGGCCGCAAAATTCTGGATTGTCCCGGAATTTTGCGTCTTGTTCTGTAATAAGACAATAGTCTAATTACTGAACAAGACGCAAAATTCCGGGACAATCCCACATTCCGATAATGTGCTAGTTTCGTAACAAAATAAACTAATAACAAATGACACCGCTGGCCAGCTTGATGTTTTAATTCTGGGGGGTTATTGGGGGTTTGTTTTGATGCTTTATTTTTTCAGGGAGCGGAAGGGGATGCAAATGTATCGGAATTGATAAACCAGCATCTGGCAATCCTAGCCCCATCCCATACAACGAACTATTTTGCCATGTTTTGCTCGATATTCTAATTCTAATTCTAACACTCACACTCACACCACAGAACACAGAACGAGGTTTTTCATTCTGGCAATCGCTTATCACCCTTCTAACCTTTTTTTGTGTGTTCTGTGACTTACACCAATTAGCCTAGCCCCAAAGTAAGCACATTATACCTAATAATTATACTTTATAATTTGCCACAGATTTGTAGACTGACTAACGGCTGCCCGCGACTTTGTCTGCGTTGAAAAATTGTGTCCCACAGAAACTTCCACACCCCTTTTTCCAACTTATAGGATAATTTCGGTGATAAAAATTATCGTATGTCCTTTCTCGGGACTTAATCTATCTCTATGCCAAATTTCATCTAAATCCGTTCATTGATGAAGGGGTAACAATAATAACAGACACGTGTTCGCATTTATAATACTAGCGACCGCACACTACTTCCGCGTTGAAATGAATTTTTGACAATACAGTTGATAAACTATATAGGTATTGCTTACCACATCCGAATCCTTTCAGTAAGTTTTGCGTGAGTAACAAACATACAAACTCTCACATTTACCAATAATATGTATTAATAGAATTAGTAGGATTATCATGGATTAATCCTACCTTGCTAAAGAAAATTTTGCGTAGTAAGGGTACATTAAATGCCTACTTTCCTATTACCAGTTGCGACAGCAGCGTCATTGATCAACGCAGAACTGAACGAAGTATCCATACAAACCAGCTCGGAGAATTTCATCGGGACCCAGTGTGAAGGATTCGATACGGTTCTCATAGGAGACATGTTCTATGACGAGGAGTTCGCTAACCTGCTCTTCGACTGGCTCAGAAGTCTCAGCTCTGGAGGTAAAATGGTAAGTTATCGGGAAGGGAATCCCACATAACACTTTAACTCTAGGTAGGGCTGCCATCTCTAAAATGAGGCAACCAGGATAAGACGCGTGATAACCCCGGATTTGCTTTGATGCCCAGAACCCGGACAGACCAATAAAAAAACAGTTAAAAAAATGTCACAAATCAACTTTTTTATGTTGATCTAGGCAAAAGAGCTAGCGGTCTACCACATAATAAGTGGTCACTGCTGCCCATGGACACTTGCAGCACCAAGAGCCACTCATGCGTTGCCGTAAATTTTTAAATCCGGACTACAAATAAAACCCCGCCCGGACGCTCCCCGGACGCCCCGTAAACTAGGACAAATCCGGGGAAACCCGGACGGATGGCAGCCCTAACTCTAGAGGCCTTATGTAAGGGCACCTTTTTATTTAAAAAGAAACGGATGTGATGAGAATCCTTACTGCACGGACGGACTGCAGCGTTATGTCAGACTCTTACTGGCGTGGCGCGGCGTGGCGACATCTATGTTCATAAAGGCCTTATAGGCTTCATCATAAGTGATCATACAAGAAAACGGACCCCCCTCACCCTCCGCGCAAGCTGGTGTGCCAAGCTTAAGTCTCTACTTTATCTACTGTACATTAATTAACTGGACTATACAAGAAAAGTTGCAACTTCAACGTTGTACTTTGTAGTAGAATACCTAATATTCAATTTGTAAAATTGGGAAATTTTATGAAGTGGTGGTATGTAAATTCCATAGGGTATTTTTATTTTTTTTTATATTGTTTTGGTGCTTTTGTTAATTTTCGAAAAAGGTACCTTACGAGGTATTCTATTTAGAGTCTGCTATGACTGCCAGAAGTGGAATCTTCATAAGTTAAATAAAATATTGAAACTTGAATTTTGTAAACATCGCGATAAGGTTAACGTGGCAATACCTGTCAGTTTCTGAACTTGACCTTTGGCTGTGTTTTAGTTCTGTCCTTTATACATAATATATTTTTTTTTCTTTTATTTTGGCAACAAACAGTCATATATTTTACAAAAGTAACTTAAGTTAAACATTTTTTTATGAAATAGACCTAACAGTGCCTAAACACAATATTAAAACAGTTCTGAAGTTAGGACATGGTCAGCTAATGAAAATCCAAAATTAAACTATCACAGTACACTAATGTATGACGAAATGAAGAACTTATAAAAAAATTGCGGGACGCTCCATGGAGAAACCGCTTTTCTAAGCAAAATGTGTGACTGGACTATATATTACATTACACTTTTGTATTCTCAGACTTACAATTACAATATCTTTGGACTTTGTCTAAACATTACGGTATTTATTGATGACCAATGAAATATTCATTTCTACTATTTACGTTGCAGGTATTAATCGGAGATCCAGGGAGGCACGGCCTAACAGAAAAGCGTCGTAAACACTTAATACTCCTAGCGAAGTATGATCTGCCACAAGTTAGCTGTATAGAAAACCATGGGTTTATGGAAACTTCGCTATGGAAATTAAAATGATTTTATTTATAACATATTTTCTTTTATTTATTTCCATTAAATCTAAGATACGTTAACCTTCAAAAATATATAATGTAGACTTCTTAAGCACACAGTTTTATTAATATTGTAACATCTGCAGAATAATAAATAAGCAATAGTAATTATTTTGAGGTCTTTGCATCCATGGCTATATTTGCCACCGAAATTTAAAATAAAAGAATGTGCCCTGAAGAGAATAATATAAAAAAAAACTTATCGAAGGTGTAAATAAAAAGAGTATGTAGACTAAAATTATTTTTATTTATATAAAAATAAAAAAAAAACTTCGTTTCATCAGCATCACATAATATTTTTCGTTGTATATTAATTGAACACATTTTAAGGATTCGGACGACTTTAAGCAGTTTACCTTAGTTTTTTTAAGCATTAGGTATTTATTTTACACTAGTGACCCGCTCTCGCTTCGATCCGGTGTAGAGCTGTAGTGTTAACTATAGTTTTCGTTCAAAGGCTTGTGTTATGTACACAATGACTTTCTTTATAATAATTATAAACCTTCCATTCCAAGTAAAAAATTTGTTGCGTAGCTTAGGACCCGTTGTACCGAATGCACCATTGCTCTGCTGTTCCGATTTGAAAAATTCTTTTTGTATTGGATAGTACATTTATCGAGGAAGGCTATAGGCTATAGAACATCAGGCTACGACCAGTAGTAGCGGAGCATCGATGAAAATAATGAAAAAACGGGTAAATATATTTTATTTGTGACTCTATAACCTATGTTCATCAGGGATAATGAAGGATTCTAAATGTGAAAGAATTTTCAAATCGGTCCAGTAGTTTCGGGGCCTATTCTGTACAAACAAACAATCAAATCTTTCTTCTTTATAATATTAGTGTATAGATAGAAAACAACGTAATAATGGACCAAAGGCGTACATAGGATAGGTAAATTATCAATTGAACCTTAGGTACAATATTTACATAAAGTCTAGTTATCTAAATTTTTAACTTAATTTAATGATTAATTTAATATCAAATAAAACAAATCAATTCTAATTTTCACATTAAACTTTGCATATTAATTTATAATAATCAAATATTAAATTAAATCGTAGATTTAAATATCTATGAATTAAACTATGTAATTAGCGCCATCTAGACTATTTATACAGTAATAACCAACAGCGCCATCTATTGGCACGTGGCGGAACTACGACGTCGTCTTTCGCTTATCTAAAAGAATACACCCGATTATTACATTTACAACTGATAATTATGCATGGTGTTCGCGTATATGCCGTGTTTCGATCTTGCCGTCCTTCCCGAGTAATGTGAATAGGTGTCCATGTCCATAGGTGCGTGCGGATGCATTATCAGAACTGGTTGTAGGGCGAGCGATTTCCTCGAGCCGGACACAGATGTCGCGTCTGTCACGTAAGCGTTGTTCACTTCACCTGGAATTTAAAAGAAATAAAACATTAATTTCACTGACTACGACCGCGATATCCTTGATCCATGGTAAGTAAGTACAATACTTGTTTTGTTTGTATGGATATAAAACGCGTACTCCATGAGAGATTTTTCTTTGTTTCCTTTGGGTACTAAATCATTGTATGTTCGGATCCTGGACAATCCTGGAAGCTAAAAATGTGATTTGTAATGTAATGTTAATGGCAACCTGAAATCTATTCCGTTATTTACTTGATTTAGACTAAACGAAATACGTATAATACCTAGGAAATTTGTCCTACCTTCTCAACAATAAAAGTAAAAAACAAGTAGGCCTAAATAACAATAACAACGCCATCTAGGTATTTTTTGATGGTCAAATTTACAAAATGTCAAAACCAGTCGCTTCGAAAGTTGGACACGCATAACGTAATCTCTAATTCTTCGGAACAAGGATTACAATTCCGCATACAATATCCTCTTACGGCAAAAACGCACAAAGAATGCGAACAAGTCTACTATTCAAGCATTCATGGAAGCAATCGGCACAATCGGCACAATCAGCATTAAATTTTGTAATTGATGCTTTAACGCTATCGCGATAAAGTTGACTCTCGCATACATTTTTTATGTGTGTCAGCAGTTAGCATATTCATGATGTGCCCACATCATGCTTGTTCTGCTGACTCCCCGATGTGATGACACAAGTCGTGAGTACCTACCTATTGAATTCTTTTGAATTTACCATTTGTAAAGTGTCATCAGAATTGTTAAAGTACGACCATATTTTTGATGTCTGTCGTGCTATGCTGGTTGCCATTAATTAAATCGCCAACCTACACAAATTTTTAATACTTATCTATTTTCATATATATAGGGAAGTACATAAATATTATAATTTTTGATCAGCAACCTTATTGTACGGACAAAACAGTGTAGGATATTATAAACAGGGTAATTAATTAAAGGAGCTAGGCAATGACAATCATGAATGACCTAGAACTAGAAACCAGTTAGTTTGATCTCCAAACAAGAAGATATGGAAACAACATCGAATTTTGTCTTTTTACGATACTGGCCGTTTTTATTGAACTTCGGTTTTATGATTTATTATTTATTGTGAGGACTTCAGTATGTACTTAAAATAATGCTAAAGCCACACTGTCCAAATATCGCGAACATTATCTATTTTCACGACAAGTCATCCAAACAATAGTCAAATTTCAGAAAACATTCAAAAATGTGACGGATGCAGTTATTTAAATGCGATTTAATTAAGAATAGGAAAGCCAATAACCTCCATCTGTCAAATGTCGCTTGAAAAGTACGGTTTGCAAAAAAACTTGGAACCATTTTTAAGTACAGAGTTAATTCTAGAATAAAAAAAACAAACATTTATAAACAAACAATAACAAATATTGATAATTAATATTGTTTGTTTTTTTTTCATTTATTGAGCTTTGGCTATGACTGGTTGATAACCTAAATCGTCACACAAATGTCACTTTATGTTGCGTTCGTGAACTGAATTTAAAACTTTCGTTTACATAAAGGATGCATATTCGATTGTGACCTAATAATAGTGCATGATTATTCTATTGATAACTACTCCGGTGGTAATGGAGAGATGAGCGGAATTGAAGAGCTAGATTCTGATTATCGTTTTTTCTCACACAGTCTTAATAAATAAATATTATTAAAAAACAGTTGTATTTTCTTCTCAATCTTAGTAAAAAAATATATTTGAAAGTCGGATGTTTTTTCTCGCTTAATCTTAGTAAATAAGTTTTATTAAATAAAAACTTATTTTGCTCACTCTAACTATTTGGTTTGAATTGACAGCTATGACGTCACAATATGGCTCCCAGTCGGTCCTATTCTTAGTTGAATCGCATAGTACATCGCATCGCAAGCGTTTAGACAAAATATGACGGATTGACACTGTTGTCAAGGTTAATCTGTGGTCCCTTCGCTATATAGGTAGTCTGGGAAGTTTCCGGCTAGGTGTCACTGTGAACTTGATCTATGTAACATGTGAGCTGATAAATAAATGTGATTGAAACATAGCAGCCGCGGTTTGATTTACAGATAAATAGATATACAATTGGAGCCTTACATGAGACACTTTAATTGTTAACCACAATGATCTTCTATTCTATAGTTAACCACCATAAAAATTGTAAAACTAGAAAAGTGAACTACATAAAAAGCCATAAAGTAAACCACTTTCGATTCTCCAACTTCTAAAAACAAACTTAAGTACACATTATTGCGGTTGTTAACTTCTCTAATAACAGTTAGCGACGGAGGCATATTCACATACATACAGTAACGTAGTCATTATCAACATTTGCCAATTCACTCTTGTGACAAACCAGTGAACATGTACAACGAAAGTCACATCACTTGTGACACCGAACAATTAAAAATGAACTCTGTGTCTACGTTGTGAAAGGTGTTCTTTAATTATGGTTTTGTTTGTGTAACGTTCACTTTTGTTGCTCACGATGCGTCACAGCACAACAATTGGGGTGGAAACCAAAGTGAGTACCTTGGTTTAGTTGCGTAACGTAAACTGGATCAAACCGGTATTAATCCAGGGAGAAAATGGTATGGTCGGTTGGTGACTGACCACAGATCTTGGGAAGGAAGGACATATTAAGTAACTATCATATTTTAAGATGTGTAGCAACTTTATAAGGAGATTTTTAATTATCTGTGTTGCCATAAATTTAAATGTTTGAACGATATTTTTATGAGGTACCTACATGTAGGTAATTATTTTATTTTACTATTTATTTTTCACAACACATTAATTAGCCTAACCCCAAAGAAAGCACTGTAAGGCTTGTGTTATGGGATACTAGGGTAACGGATAGAATACATATTCGATAATATATAAATATATAAGTATATTTATATAGAAATACATATTAAACATGACTGGAGTAGAAATGCTCGTATTCATCAAACAAACATCTGCCCCCACCGGGATTCGAACCCGGGACCTCTCGAGTCGGCGACACCATGGAACCCCGCTACAAACCACTCGGCCACGGAGGTCTTCAAATTATCATATTTTATAATGTGTAGCAACTTTATTTTATAAGAATATGTAGGACGGAGTTGTTTGTAAGAAATGTATGCCTTTTACCTCTTCACGTATAAGCCGTTGAACGCATTTATATGGAATTTTGTATAGAAATAGTTTGGAGTCCTAGGAAAGGATATAAGCCAGTTTTTATGCTAGAACACATACTTTAATAAGGTGGTGTTATAAGAAGGGTGTAATTTTTATAAGAAACTAATTTTTCCACTTAAATTATCTATAATTATTATTTTTATACCCACCCTCCCGCATTTTTAATTTCCAAGTCTGTCGTCGTCGTCCGGCAAGACTGCTTTGTACAATGATAGCGGTCGGTACCCGCTGTCCGGCTCAAGGGGTAACGATACGGCGGACTGCTTAGCTAGGGAAGGGTCCACTAGGACGGCCTTTGGTCCGGAGCCAATTATACCCATACCCTATCGACAGCTGAGGACCTGGATAAGAGAGCGCTGTCAACGACAACACGACGAATATTGGGCAAAACTCACTGACTGCAAGATAGGAAAGCCGTTTCTAGGGTTCTTTCAGGTTTACACCTGCAACTATCACGTAAGTTAATCAGACTACCTAGACAAGCCCTAAAACAAATCGTGGGTATACTCACGGGTCACGGCTACTTCAAAAAACACCTTTGTAATATAAGTATTTCTGACAGCTCTCTGTGCAAAGCCTGCCTGGAGGAGGAGGAGACGAGTGCCCATGTTCTGCTGGAGTGCAGAGGCGTTGCAAGACAAACGACTTCTCTAATGGAAAGCCCGCGGACAATAGAAGAAGCCTGCAGCAACATCCGGGGACTGCTGAGCTTTCTGGAGGAGCTGGGATGGCAGGACTGATGCCAATCCCCACGCAAAATAGGCACTGGGTGTCGAGTTGCGGAAACAGCCCGTCTTACTACTAAGACTAAGGTACCCGCTGTCGGGTTGTAACTTCTCGTGCCTGGTTACCAGTTGTCGAGTTGCGGAAACAGCCCGCTGTACTACTAAGACTAAGACTAAGGTACCCGCTATCGGGTTGAAACTTCACTTGCCTGGTTGCCAGTGTAAACGCAAGAGCGGCCACAGCATGGAGCCGTCCAGAAACCCGCTAGAAATATATTAAGCATTGACTAAAAGTGGTATCATTACCTTTGTACAAAGACGGCGGTGGGTACCCGCTGTCGGGTTGTAACCGCACGTGCCTGGTGGCCAGTATGAACGCAAGCGCAGCTAGTACGATGCCGTCTAGACACCCGATCACTGCTAGTATGTACGCCCAGCGGACGTGGCAGCGACCTACAACATACATTACAAAATATAGGTATATAAATAGATTCATGAATAATGAGAAATGTAAATAGGAGCTCGATGATGCTATGCCATGATACAGTGGATGATATCTAGTATGATAGGCTATGTGGTGCCCATGGCTCTTATTAACAGGTGGGCCATAAGCTTTTTAACCACACTTAAAAGAAACTGACATTTTGTTGTATAAAATTCACTGTGCCAACCATGGCTGCTTTCTTCATACAGAAGAATACAGTGTGCTGTCTCGCATATTTTATCTCTTAAAACAATAAATAAAACGCCTACATGCCAGTAACAACATGATATGTACGGTCGCAGATGACCTTTACAGCGTCACCGGGTTTGGGGACGGCGAGATCCTAAGACCTCAAGCCGAAAATTGGCGAGTGCCTCTGGAAGTATTCCAGGCGGATGGCATCTCCCCACGGGGGCGTCTCCTCTCCGTTTGGGAGCCTCTAGACCACGCGAACCTGAGATGGGGAAGTTTACATCAAGCTAAAGCATGAAGTAACAAAGTAACCCACCTAAATGATATTGGTCGGCAGTCGGGCCGCACGTCTCTTGCACCGACGTCTCGCTCCACGCTGCGGGGTAAACCGCTACCCCGGCCACCATGCACCCGGCTGGAAACAAAACACAATCAGGTTATTTTACGAGACCTTCAAATGTAATATTGAGGGCAAGTTTCACTTATTCCCGATAAAGCTTTAGATTTTTATCTGCCTTATAACATACAACAGTTCTAAAAGTGGCCGATTTTTGCTTCTTTATCTGCCAATTTTTTATATTCGTGACCTGTAAAACACACTTGTGGTTTATCTCAAATATTTAAATCGTTTATCTGACATAAAAGTCCCATATAAGCTATCGGAAACCAGCAAATGTTGCAACAGACCACACCAATAAAATTCACACTAAGCAATCCGTTCCTTTAATTTTGAGATTCTGTCCACAGAGAAGGCCCAACAGTGGGAATATAATAAGTATGATAATGATCCTGAGCTAGAAAATTAACGTTACCATGCCGGATTGTCAGTAAATGAAGATAAATCAATTAGACAAGTCATAATATTCTACGATATGACAGTGAAAGACTATGTTTAAATCTACGTTAGTACGTAGATTTGGCTACTACTATACTTTGGGTATTTGAAAACCTTCGGCGGTCGGAAATAACAAAATGAAATAGTAAGCCATAACGATAGCCCTAGCAATCCCATTAGGCGATTGGTCCCCAGCTCACTACTACGATCTCATTCAAGCAAAACCACAGATTAAAGGATGAAATATCTAATATTATCGATGCAATCATCATTCCACAGAACCGGATCGCGTAGCACCGCAAATTTCGATTCGATATCGCGAGTCCGAGAGAAGTACTCATCGATTCGCAGTGACTCAGATGAAGAAAGCTTTCGTAATTTCAATTTCACGGAATCTGGGCTAATGAAGGGAAACTGCTGAGTTACAAGTCGATGCGCCGGTTAAACGCTGCTGTGTACCATTCTAACCCGAAACGCAATATCATTGAAAAAAATAAGAAAGAAAGTGAAATTACTGCCTTCATGCAAAATTGCATGAATTACGAATACCAATATCAAAATTTCAGCATCTTTTTTCATTTTTTTATTTGGCTCACAAAACTGGTTACAAAGAATATCCATGTAAATATATGCATAAAAAAAAAACATGAGCTACTTTGCAACCTACTATATTAATATAGTATGTACTATATGTAAAGGTTAAAATCTAAGTACCTAAAAAAAAGTTAAAGTTAAGACTAAAAACTAATAGAACTTAACTTAATCTTGAGAACTTAATCAAAGAATATTGATTTTGAGCATTTTCTGGTTGAGGCTTTAGAACCTTTAAATATGTCGAAATCATTTCGAATAGTATTATAGGATGAAAAAATTATATAAAGAGGAGAGTGACTCCCGAGTCTTGTCTTACAGGGGGGCAGTACAAAAGTCTTTTAAAGCTTACTAAATAAGGCTAGTTGGAACTTCTGTATTCATTATGGATTGGCTTTAGAGTTTTTCAACCCTATATCGAAAAGAAAAGAACTTATCTAAAGTTGATAGGCGTGTGGCCACCCACTTACCATAGAACGGGTCATATCATAATGGTTTTTATAGCACAGTGTGACCTAAACCCGCACTTTACGCACGCTTTTCCGTGACCTAAGTTGCCTATTTCTGCGCGGTGTGTAAATGAATTGACCAACTTCACTCATGTAGAATTAGTACATTACGATACGCGTAACTTAACTTTACTATGCCAATCAAGGAATAAACGTTCATGGATACATTGAAATTCTATTTTGTTGTAATGATATTTGATATTTTCCTTTTGAAATATACTTTCAAAATGGTAATCTGAACCGGAATTCTTTCTTTTCAGAGTTTGACTTGCAGTCTGTATTGCAATTCTTTGTGATTGCAATACATGAATTTTACTTTCAACACACCCCCCTCTTGCCCGCGTCCGGGGCGGGTTTATGTCACACTTGCTATAAAATAGTATACGATACTTGTGGCCTAAGTTGCCTATTACTGCACGGCGTGAAGTTAGCGCCCGAGCGGAGCGAGGACATTTCGAGTCACGCGTATCGTAATGTACTATTTCGCCACCATCCATTGACTAAGAAAATATTTTCTCTAAGAGATAACTTCTTATGGAAGTATAAACCGCTTAGTTATGTAACGCGTTACGGCGCCAGTCTGTCTGGCTTCCCTTCCTCTAACTAACGCATAAGGCAGCGGTAGGCAGGCTCCTCCTCCTTAGTCAGGGTTGCCATCTGTCCCGGTTTCCCCGTATTTGCCCTAGTTTAAAGGACGTCCGGGGAGCGTCCGGGCGGAGTTTCATTCGTAGCTTTATTTTTTTTTAGTTTGATAAAATTACATTTCTTGGGCCGCTAATTAATCTCTTCTGAAAATAAATAAATCTCTTTTGATACTGAGCCCATAAATGCTGGCTTCTCACAAGGATCAGTTCTGTCGCACGCGCTGTTTATTTTGCATATCAATGATTATGTTATGATATGATTATGTTGACCTGTTCGTGTTCTGGACGCCAAAGTCCGGGGTTTTTACCGGTCTTATCCTGGTTGCCAAATTTTAGAGATGGCAACTCTATCCTTAGTTATCACCTAGTATATAATGTACTCTATGGTTATCACTTCTGTCGTGCACCCCAAGACGCACACTCTTTTTTGGAGTTTACTCCTTAAGAATCGATTTGCATATATAAGGGGCCCGGTATGAGAAAAATGTGAGGGGTAAAATCTATCGATGAAAGACCTCGTTACGTTTTTGGTGCGCATCCTATGTCGTTCAACTTTGACAAACAAAGATGACGGATTGACATTAATAAAATTTTTAAAATCTGAACTGAATTAAGATATGTATATTATTTTCATTAATTTGTTTATTTACCCTTTCATACAGTATCAATCTTTTTTAAGTTAAATAAACTCTTTTTGCGTCTGGTTAGACTATCGAACTTAAGGAGTAAACTCCAGTCGTGCGTCGGAGCTGACACACACATTTTTTTATTTTAGAGGGGTGGTAAACAAGCGTTTGACCTGCCTGATGGTTATCAGCCATCATAGCCTGTAGGCGCTTCCGATATAAAATCACTAGCACCGTTGCCTACCCTGACCCAATCCCCTACCCCGTGGAGCACTAAAACCTTACTCACCGAAAGAAACACAACACCACCTACCTCTCTTAAATTATTAATTCCAAAAGAGTAAAACGGGTCACCATTTCTGTTCAGTTAAATCTAGTTATGTAATCATTTTACATAAGAATTTGAGCGATTGTGTAACATTCTTGAAGAGTTCAATCAAATGTCAAAACGCCATAGTTTCAATCAACACTTCAGTAAGGCAAATATGAATAACCTACGTTTAGTTTATTAGCGAATAAAGAGAATGTGAAGACAGAGGACACGTCAGAGGACCATTCGCCTAACGGAAATGCTTTGGAAAACGCTAACGCTTTCGATTTTATTTTGTTATTTCTTACCGCCGAAGGTTTTCAAATACCTCACGCTATTTTTTTAAATATATTATTATTACCAATGAAAAGAAATAAAAAGAGCGCGTGGCATTTGAAAACTTCAGGCGGTTAGAAATAACAAAATGAAATCGTAAGCGTTAGCGTTTTCCAAAGCATTTCCGTTAGGCGAATGGCCCCTAGTTCTGCGACTAAAGCAATGCAATTTAAAATGCAATTTAATTAGTAAAACTGATCTTTGTGTCGGAGACTCTCCGTGCTAGACTAGAACTAAAGAAAACTACAGTTTGCTAAAGTTGGCTGGTGTTTCCGTTAAGATAGGAAAGTCCTCAGATTATATAACAAAAAGTAGAAACCTTTTGTTTTGTTATCTGAGGTAAGGTCTACCAACCAATGGGTGATGGTTGCCTAACTCGGAAAACATCTTAGCTTAGACCAAACCAATTCCAAATACGACGTCGGCGTCGCATCGAGACAGGGCAGTTAAGTTTATGTGCCTGCCACGATGCCAAATAAATATATAAACTTTATTACCTACAACAAGTTGTGAGAAGTAACTTGGAAGTACAGGTGCGGTCGCAGCCTGAAATTTTGGAGGGGGTCACTCACTACACTAATAAAAAATAGGTATCTATACTTATAATAAATCTGTAGAGAGGTCAATTCTGTACATGAAATATATTTTCAAAATAACTATCAGGGGGTGATAAGTGATCGATACTGATGCCAAAAATGCAATCAGTAAAATTTTTGTCTGTCTGTGTGTCTGTCTGTGTGTATGTTCCTTATAGAAACAAAAACTACTCGACGGATTTTAACGAAACTTGGTACAATTATTCTTCATACTCCTGGGCAGGTTATAGTATACTTTTCATCACGCTACAATCAATAGGAGCAGAGTAGTGAAGGGAAATGTTGGGAAAACAGGAGAAGTTACTCCATTTTTTAAGCTTCCGTCGCGTGTGGAGCCTTAATGGTTAAAGTTACATAGAAATCATGTATAACGGAAATATTCTACATAAAATGGTAGACTCACAATAACACGTGTAACTCCTGATAGCTTAGCAGTTCGGAGTATTCTGATTATATTTGTTTACTCTTACGTTTATAATACTCTCACTCATCCCTAATTTAAAAAAGTTAACATTATTTCCTTTTCAATAAAAAAAGATTCATAGAAATCGGTATAGAAACACCAAACTTATATGTACATGAAATAAGCCATCGCACCGTCGCACGTGAATACTGAATCATGCTATAAGGATTATTTTTGGGTCGCGGCGGCGGTAGGTATAAGGAGAATGTCATTGTGTATAATACAGGCCTGAGAACAATAACTATAGTCTACACTTCAGCTCTACACCGAAGCGAAGCGAGGGCGGGCCACTAGTCTTGAATAAAATAAACATTATTCCAACAAGACACTTTTTGACACAAGATTTTTCAATTTGACCTTAGATTTTAAGCTAGGCTAGTGTGAATGTTGGAAATAATTATTTATTACTAGCTTTGCCCCGAGGTTTATTAGGGATAATTTCCCGCAGTAACACGTAGCCTATGTGTTAATCCAGGGTGTCAGCTAACTCCATACCAAATTTTAT